AGGCACAGTGAGCTGGGACAGTTTAGAGTTGAGAATGTCCCGGATAATGGTGCTGAACACCAAGCTGAAGTCCACAAAGAGGACCTGTGCATAGGTCACTGTGGAGTCGAGGTGTTGCAGGATGTAATGCAGTGCCATGTTCACTGCATCATCCACTGACCTGTTTGCCCGGTAGGCAGGGGGTCTAGCAGGGGGTCTACGATGTCCTTCAGGTGGGCCAACACCAGTCTTTCAAAGGACTTCATAACTACAGATGTCAGGGCGACAGGTCTGTAGTCATTGAGACCCGTGATGGTGGGTTTCATGGGGACTGGGATGATGGAGTGTTTGAAGTAGGAGGGGACTTCACACAGCTCCAGTGACCTGTTAAATATCTGTGTGAAGATGGGGGCCAGCTGATCAGCACAGGCAGAAGGGGGTCATTCTGTCTGGGCCTAGTGCCTTCCTGATCTTTTGTTTTGCTGATCATCGGGGTGGGAGGCTGGGGGTAAGGGAGGCGACCATAGGGGAGCAGCTACTGGTTGTGGGTCTGCGGTGAGGTGGGTGAGCAGTGTGGAGCTCCACTTTTCAAATCCATATTAAAACACACTGAGGTCATCTGCCAGTTGGTGGTCCTCTACAGTGGGGGGTATTTGTTCCATAGACTTCTCCATACAGTGGCAGGTCATTGTTTAAATCTGTTTTTTTCAGCCTTCCAGAGTAACTTCTTTCCTACTCTGATTTCCCTTGTCAGTGTGTTTCTGGCCTAATTGTACAGGATCCTTTTATCGGCAAATAGTGTTTACAGAGTTGTGATGGAACTTGCTCGTGTGTCATAATATAACCTACTGCGATGATGTCTTTTTGGTGTGGTGGTGTTATTGGCCTCTGTTCAGACATGGTATTAGTTCCTGTCTTTAGGCCATACCAGCAGAGATCTTAAGACAGATGGCTTTGTGGTAAGTGGAGCTCCACCACCATCATCATCATCAACTTTATTTATATAGCACATTTAGCACAGCCAGAGCTGACCAAAGTGCTTAACACAATATCCACGAAACCCATTAAAACAAAATAAAACAAGCAACAATAAAACAACATCACACTTAAAACAACCACCCATCATAAAACAAAGGCTCAACAAGACAGAGGCTGATGCTGATTCGAATGCCAAACGGTACAGATGAGTCTTCAAATAAGTTTTAAAAGTGAACAACGAGGGGGCCTGCCTAATGTACAGGGGCAATGCTATCCACAACTTAGGAACCCCCACAGAGAAGGCTCTGTCCCCCCTACGTCTCCGCCTAGCCCTTGGTGTCTCCAAGAGCAGCTGATCAGCTGATCTGAGGCACCGAGAGGGGCTATAGGGATGCAGCAATTCTGTAAGATAAAGGGGGGCCAAACCATTTAAAGATGGCCCGTACAACTGCATTCACTTGATATTCCATTCTAAGATCAGAGTTTATTTTAACACCAAGGTTTGTAACGCTCAACTGCACGTACCGCTCCAAGGAACCTAAATCAACTGGGGGAAAATCACCAGAGTTATTTGGACCAAACACTATAACCTCAGTCTTTGTGTCATTTAACTTCAATAAATTTAAAGTCATCCAGTTCCTAATGTCATCAAAACATGACAGTAATGATACAACTGATGATGTGTCCCTTCCCCTCATTGGCATATACATCTGCACATCATCCGCATAACAATGAAAAGAAACACCATGTTTTCTGAAAATAGAACCAAGAGCAAGTAAATATAAAGAAAAGAGCAGGGGCCCCAAAACTGAGTCCTGCGGAACCCCAGATACCAACAGGGTAGACGAGGACTCAGCATCATCCTATCCGACAGATAAGACCTGAACCACTTCAAGGCAGTACCACGGATGCCCACTAACTCCTCAAGTCGAGATATTAGGATGTCGTGGTCAACCGTGGTCAACACACTAAGTCGGCAGCAGACCTGCTTAATGGTACCAGTCATCCTCCAGACTTAATTGAGTCAGCTAGTCAGTCAAGCACTTGACTGTTGCAGGATGCCTCATCCCTCCTTACCCTCCAGTGGATCCCCATTGTGCTCCAGCATATGCTGCTCACAGGTGGCGTGTGTTGTCGCCTGTAATCCTCCTGTTGCTCTTCCTCGCTTTCTACCATCTGTCCCTGTATAACCAGAGCCAGGTGTAGGATCCTGCTGTCTGTGCTGCTAATGTAATAGTTCTTAACGTGTGTGAGACTGTGTGTGTCACAAAGTAGTTTGCAGCATTGACGGTGTTTGTCATGAGTTAATCCATGCACACACCAAGTGACATGGCTGAACTGTGTGTGTGTGTGTGTGTGTGTGTGTGTGTGTGTGTGTGTGTGTGTGTGTGTGTGTGTTTTTGTGTTTAGTAAGGACCAAAAAGGGTTTGGTTTTTTTTTAACTTTTTTTTGTTGTTGTTGTTGTTGTTTTTGATGTATTTATTTATTTTACTTTGCTATAAAGTAAGGGCATTTTTGGAAAGTGAGGAAATTTTGGCCAGTCCTCACTTTCTGAAAACACCTTTTTGAGGGTTAAGACTTGGTTTTAGGGTTCAGGTCAGAATTAGGTTTAGGTAAGGTGTTAGGTGAAGTACTTCCATCTTGATGACTCTCCCTGCTGTGTACAATTTAAAGTGGTTTGTGATAGAGAGGCAAAGGTGATGCATGGGATTGGTTTGGGGGTTAAGTAACCTTTGTGTCTAGTTAGGTTTTGCAAGATGGTACAGTTTGGAGTTAGTCACCTTTTGCATGAATCCTGTGGTGGCTTAAGGTTGGAGCTTAAGCTTGGTTCAGGGTTAGGTATTAGGGTTAAATATTTAGTTCTGATGGTTAAGTGTTAGAGTAAAGGCAGAGACACATCAAGCTGACCATCAGCCATTACCCACCGCTGAGCTGTTGCTAAGTGTCTATTGGGGTTCATCCTCCCAGTGTGGCCCGCACTGTTGGCACTACTCGGTCCCTATCGGCGGTTTTTCAGCTAATTTGACATGATGAATTGACATCAGCTCATTGGGCCTCAGCAGTGAAAAGAGACCACTGATTGGCTGTTGGGCTTAGCAAATTAATGCATGAGAAGAGAATGGTTCAGAAAAGCTCCTTCAGCCTGTCATTATAGTATCCGTGATTTCACCGATGTAGTGCCGTCTCTCCTCGTTTTTCACCTCCATGACCTCCTTTCTTCAACAACCATTAGACCAAGGGCTGAGAACAGAAGTGTCATTTGCAACTTCTTACCAGACATTCTTGATTAGAAACAGCTATAAACAGCAGCTGTTTTGAACAAAAGGTGCTTTGCTTATAGCTTATACATCCACAGTCTAGCTCTTCTTCTTTCCCTTTCTGAATGGTGACCACAGATACCGCCACCTGCTGATAGCGGGAGTTATTTCTGTCACACAGGCACAGAATGTATGAGCTAGTTGGCCATTGGCTGTACCTGTGCAGTGTGTTCAGGTGTCACTTTTTCAACCCGGCTGGCCCAGACAAAGCCGAGGTGCGCATGTATACATGCATATACACTTGGTATTACTCACACTGTGGGCCGAAACCTGAATCCACACACACACACACACATTGTAGGAACTCAGCCTTCCTTGAAAGGACCGACTGCTGGTCAACACCATGTCAATCAACGAATTATAAGGTGATAACTTGGTTTAAGTTTAGGGTGATGCTGGGGCTAGGCATGTAGTGATTGTAGAGTGAGGGGCATTTTCACTATTTTCTGGCCAGTTGATTGAATAAATAATTGAAAGATCAATTTTTAATGAAAGTAAATGCTAGTTGCTGCATTTCAGAGAGTGAGATGGGAAAATTGATACTAGCCTCATGTTTCTCATTGAATTACAGAGCTGGGAAATGGGAAATGAATATGAATATGTTCTTGAATAATGACATGTATTTGTTTAATCTGTAATTAAACATTAAAGTGACAAAACTAAGAGTCTACAGCTGTGCTGGAAACTCTGTGATTCTGTACTTAGATGCAGCTGTGTTTGACATGTTAGGGTGGTAACATTAGCTACAGTAGGTAACACCACAGCTGGGGCTGTTATTAGCATTCACATATTTGGTCATTAATGATTAAGTAGTGACGTATTGGAGAAATTGAAATTTTTCACCTGATGATGGTGGTGGATGGAAAAGTTAAAGGATCACTGAGGTTTGCTCAGTTTATCCTGTGGGGAACATGATCATGGTTACAAAATTTCATGCTAATCTGCAGTAGTTGTCAAGACATTTCACTCCGCTCTATAGATATGGACAACTTGGTGGTGCTAGAGGGAAAAGTCAGGGGGATTCATCCTCTGGGGGACATGAATGCTTGTACAAAATTTCATCTAAATCCATCCAGTGATTGAGATATTTCAATCTGGGACAAAGTGGTGGATTGCCTGACTGACATCTTGGAGTGGCTGGCATTGTTCTAGGGATGGCAGTGGTATTGAGGAACTGTTTCCTGACAAACAACAAGCACAGTGAGTGTGCATGGCTTCATGGAGTCTTATCGACTTAGAGTGTTTACACCAACTTCTCATTCTGTTTTCACAGTTGATTTGACCAGGACATTTAACAGTTCCACAGCTTTTATTTCAACTCAGTTAGAAGTTTACGTAAAAACAAATCATGTTTGATTATTTTATTAATTCAGGGAGATGGTTAAAATATACTATTTTGTTGGCAGCAAAACATATAGAAATATGCACGAAGGGTGAATAAATGGCTTAAGAAAACAACATAATGTAGAAAAAACTTCCAGTATGAGCCACTCCCACTCCACATATAATCCAAAAAAGGATACAAACAGGTATTTTTGTGGCCTAACCACATAGAGATAGTAACTTTGCATTACACCCCCCACAGGGAAATGAATATTTGTGTCATGAGTGGTTTAACTGAAGTACAAGCAGCCAAAAAGCACCAGACTTACCTGCATAGATGTTGAATGTTGTCTTATTCTATAATTCACCATGACATTTCGGTCTATCTTCTCTGTGTCCCAGGTGATTAGCAGTGATCCATACTGGGTTCCCACCACCGAGGAAGAGTACCTGCACTTTGGTGAGAAAGCTGACTCCGCCAACCAGGCCCTCAAATACATGAACGCTGTCCGTCGCCGCAAAGGCCTCTACGTGGAGGAGAAGATAGTAGAACACGCAGAGAAGCAGAGGACACTCAGCAAGAACAAGTAGAAAAGAAACCACGCAGAAGACGCCGCTGATAGCAACTCGTCCTGTCAGCCCGAGACACTGCTGACATCCATCTGTTTACCCAGGACTGCAGACATTTATAGACTCTGCTCTTCATGATTATTAGCAGAGGGACTTGTCATGGAAAATTAAATAAATGTGTTGCATTTGAACATGAATATTGGTTTTCATTTCTGCACAGATATGCTGTTGTACTTAAACCACCATCACCATCACCATTATCAAGGTAAATGGTTTGCATGCTTCCTGTGTCTTCAACAGCTCGTGTCAAAGTATATTTCAGTGATTCTCACTTGGGTCTGCTTTTAGAGAAGAAGGAATCAGAGAGTTTGAGAACAATGTTAGTAATCTTGAGTGGAAATATTTGATTTTAAAATAAAGTAATTTTATGAGGAAAAAGTCATGATATTGTACATATTGATATTGTACTGTGCAGTGTTACTTTTCCCTGGCCACTATAGAAAGTGCAGCAAAAGGCACATCCCCTAGCCTTCCCCACACTGCCACAGGTGGCCAATCACACTGAGCTTAGTTAGCAAGATACCTGTAGAGCATTTCCCTTTGGCACAGTATAGCACAACAGCTGACTGTGGAGATATTTTTTTTTAGAAATATAATGTAGTACTAATTATTATAAAGAAAACAGGAAACTACCAAATAATTGCAATTAAATGTTATCTACAGTTTTTAATCAGTATTTAATAGCAGGTCAGCTGAACAAAATGTCAACATGCAAACATATAAGGAGAATAGTTTTCATTGATAAATTACTATATTCCCAGTTTGCCTACACTTTCAGTATTACAAATTTACATACTACTTTCCAAGTAGGAGGAATATTAGTAAGTTACAAAGCCGTAGGTAAAGTGGTAACTTCTTTAACTAGATGCTAAGACATGTCGCCTGATGCAGATTTGTATTACTTATTACAACCTAGACACCATTTGATTTTATATAATATTACATTTTTCCCAAAATTCTAACTTATCATATTATGACTTTTTCTACCTGACTTTTCTCCAAATACTTTAATACTCAAAATATTTGGACCTTTGCAGTTTCTTTAGTTGAGAGTTTGTGGATATATACTTATTGTTCAAAGCTACTGTGAAACGATCCTTATTTTCAGATGTTCAGCGTAAAGTATGGTGTTTTCAATCGTGCACATTGATTTAGGGTTTGGTTTGACTTCTCACCTCATAACCCATAGATGACATTCTTCATCTTTGATTTCCTTCTTGCATTGCATAGTCAAATGAACATAAAAATAGTGAGAAAATGGGAACAGATAGTAGTTTTCAAACCATGTAACATTTTTAAAATGCATGGGGGTCTACTAGAACAGCATGTGTACTGTCAAGTCAGGGGAGGTAAATGGTTTTCATAGCACTGTGTGCTTTTTAATGCTCCATTTCTGCACTAATGCAATCCAATACCACATCACTCATGTTCATATGCCATACTGTTAAAAAGCCTGCAAATAGCTTTATCCCGCCATCAGGGCTGCGCTGTCAGTTGATAACCCCGGCCCTATGTGTCCGCTGACTGCTAATGGCAGACGGGCTCCTCCTGTGAGACCTTGGCTAATGTAGCACATGGGATGGGCTTGTCTTGCATCACACAGAGTCAGTTACAGTCATGCATAATTAAGATGCTCTTTTTCCCAGCAAAATCTGGCAGTTTTGCTTTAGTCAAGTGGTTCTAATTCATTTCACAGCCCTTCACCCAGCCACCCATCCTCCACTTCCTGCTTTTTGAATTTCTTTACCCTGAAGACAGTTTTTCAATGTAGAAAATATAAATATTGTGAAAATTGGGAAATGAGGAGTGTTTTAACTATCAGGGAGGGGAGGCCACAGCGACAAGCCCTCTGCAAGCAGCCTGGGCTGTTTACACAATAAAGTCAACATGGTTTATGCATTTATATATTCTGTGTTCCTGAGGCAGTGTGCAGCTATTGGAATTAAATAAATTCACAGAAAAACATAGAATTAGAGGATTATAAAGGATTTTTAAAGTTTTTGTTTTTTTTTATAAAAACCTATAATTACACATACTTAATATAACTGAAATGTGCAAATATTTGTGCAACACAACACCGGGTGTGATCTCCACACTGTCCATTCTCACAGGTCTGGCCTTCCAGAGCACCTGGTTCAGTCTGCTGGTATCACTGGCCTCATTAATTGCATGGAACAGTGCACTGGCTCCACAGACTGATAAAGCATCCTCAGTGTCTTGTTGCACATTTTATAGAAATGCTCCTCAGGAAACAAAACCATTTGCTCTGTCGGATCTTAAATAGGAAATCATTGTTTGAATAGTCAAGTTTCTTGTTGTTGTGGACCCCAAGCACCCTTAAGGTATCTAAAACGTACACTATCTAATCATTGTTTCCTACAGATGTCTGCTCTTGTTAGGCTGGTAAAGCATTTAAAATCATTTGGAGCACAGACTCTTACACTGGACCAGGCTCAATTTACTGCAGATTTTTTACAACCACTACTCATCTATTTCCAGGTTTTCAATAAGATATCTGACAAATCAGTATATTGGTATAAGGCAAATATACAATACTCAGGGGAGTAACAGATTAGGTTTCTATCCTCCTCCGGTTCTCTGTGAGGCTTGTCTCGTCAACTGCCATGGGGGAACAACCTTTCTACCCATTCAACAGCCATCCAGAGGGTTCTGTTCCTGTCTCCCTCTCTCTGTGCTGAGACAATACTTTGCTAATGTGTTCTGCAGAGCTGAGTTATCAGCTGACCTCTCTGATGAATCCCAGTAGTGACAACACACTCCACTGTCCATCTGCCATCGATTCACACAGATACCAAGACAGAGATGTGGTTAAGTTAGCACTTTGTTACACTGTACACTGCTTTGTCTTTGAGGGAGGTGGCCAGTCTGATGTCATGGTGTGAGGACAAGGACAAGACGAAGGAGATGATAGTGGACATGAGGAAGGAAAGGAGACTGCCACTGTTCATTTGGAGGCTCGAAGTGGAGAGCAGCTTCAAATACCTGGGCGTCCACATCAGTGGACGCCCAGGTATTTGGACACAGTGGACACCTCACTTGGACACTCAACACCACACAGCTGGTCAAGACGGTTGTACTTCCTGAGGAGGCTGAGGAGGTTTGGCATGTCGCCTAGGATCCTTTACAACTTCTACAGCTGCATCATTGAGAGCATCTTGACCAGCTGCATCACTGTCTGGTATGGTAGCACTACTGCTATGGACCGCAAGCGCCTGCAGATAGTGGTAGACTGCGGAGAAGATCACTAGGACTCCACTGTCCTCTCTGCAGAGCATTTGCCACTGCAGTGTGGGTAGGAGAGCTGCTTCCATCCTCAAGGACCCCACCCACCCCCAGCACGGACTGTTCATACTCCTACCCTCTGGCTGGAGACTCAGAAGTGGGAAATGCAGGACCTCTAGACTGAAAAACTCTTTCTTTCCCTCTGCCATCAGACTCCTAAACAGCTGACTCAGGATCTACCTCATGTAATTCCATCTGTATTGTTTACATTCTCAGTTTGCACATGCATAATTGCACACTCACTGCTGAGTATTTACACTCCACAGCTGCCACGTAGCATATATTCTCTCTTCGTTATATTGTGTTCTTGTTGTATTTTCATTATGCTTCTTTCATTGGCTATTTTACAGTGCCTTAGATTTTGTGGTACCTATGTATTTGCATTATATTTCACTTATATTGTGGCATTCATGTGGTCAGTAAAGTAAGAATTTCAATGTACAGGGAAACACGTGTCCTCACTGTGCATATGACAATAAACACTTGACCTTTGTCAACTAGGGAAATTTTTGGCTGACTGTCTATTCATGTGCCAGCTGACTCCGCTTTCACTCATTCTCACTCCATTTGATGTAGATGAGTGTAGTGTGTTGAGAGGCCAGTTACTCAGCCAGTGTGCCAGCTCGTGCCAGGTCAACAGGCCAGTGTTGTGTCTGTGCACTGTATGTATGTACCGTTTATCTTGTACTTCTATGCTGGTGAGAACTTTTTCATTTATAAAACATTAACTACTGAGAAAGTTATAACTTTCTTTCAAAGATAGTCAGATCAGTGTTAATCCCCTTTCAGACATGCACTTCATCACAACACTGTATGAATAAGCCCTTGTGCCTGCATTATTCTAAGGCTAAACCTACCATAAAATGCTTGTTATTGCTAAGATGGAACAGATCTGCTTTAGAAAACAGAACTTACAAAGCTACTGTTTAAAGATATGGCAACTGCTTTTATCATTTTTCAGTGAGTCACAAACCTGAGCTCCATTGCTATGCTGTACTCTACCGTTTACACTGACATTCAAAACAGTCTGACACCATAAGCTGCTCTTAAGCACTCTTTACCCATTCAGTGACATCCTGTTTCCTAGCAACAATGTAAACTATGGATGCCTGATGGTGACTGATGCCTGAAACTTTACAAAATGCAGCTTCTAATTTGAAGCTATCATTAGCTAACAAGAAGATTTGGCAATCCAGTAGAATGCTTGGGTTACTGCTAATGTGATAAGGCACTAACATGACACATACAAATTAATTCAGCACAAAGTTAAAATCGTGATCATGCTAAGTCACTTGTTACCAAAACAAATACAATGACAAGTTACGAAGAACCCCACACCTCAAATTTGAGTCCTTTGGCTGCTTTTAACTCTTCATCTCAAAAATCCAACTCAGTGGTTAACTCAGAGTTTTGCTCTTTCTTTGCCCCACTCTCTTCACGCAAAGGAATGTGGCCTTTTCAGTCTGACAGCCACTATCTTGGACCTTTACCTAATGAGTGATCCTCCAGGGTTGGCTGTTTGAAATGACTCCTCACAGTTATATTTGATTGATTTGATTTATTCTTTCAAGCATGTAAAGACAGTTGATACTGTATGTCAACACACATAATTTTACACATGTCCAACAAATGCTAATCCAATATCAATTTGCTTATACCTAGTACATGATTGAATGGAGTAGGAAGAAGTTAAACTTATCCAGGCCTACCCCATGACATCATCTTACTATCATTGGTTTGCAAGCAGTATCTCTACATAAATAATTCTCTTCTACACCACACAAGTAATATACTTTAAAAAAAAAAAAAAAAGTGTTAACATTCTTACATAATTACATTCTTAAATAATTATCTTCTACACTGCACAAGTAATATACTAAAGAATTATTACAAAGTGTTAACATTCATACACCACAATGTTCCATCTGGTTAATCATTAAGCCTGTTCTTGCATATATCTTGATTGACCCATACCTTTATATTCATGTTTAAACTCGTCAATTCTATTACTATTTTTTATGTCCACACTTAAATTATTCCATAGTTTTACTCAGTGACAATTAAGTAGTGAATATATAAATGACAAGA